TGCAAATGTCTTCAGCGAGTGCTCTTCTTCCTGGGTTTTACCTGCATTAATTCTGGCTGTACTGAGTTACTTTGGCCCCTGTCCAGTTCTGTATTAAGCAAGTTTTGCAACCAGCACAGAGAATTGCTTCAAAGCTAATTTAAAGAAGATTGATGAGGATTCCCCTCTGAAGAAGGGAAGCCTCAGATGCTGTGGATTTGCTGTGTAATGGTAGTAGTTCCCTGTTCATTCTCCTGTCTTCTAGCTCATCCTGTGTACGTGAGAACACGGAATGGTGGCTAGCAATAGCTTCTCGTACAGATTGCTGCTGGCTGGCTGCCAGAGCTGTCCACTGGGCCAGTGGACTTCAAGTGTGGGTCCAGACTGGGCTGCAGACTGGTTCTGTGGCAATCTGAGATTCCTGCCCTGACATCTCAAGCGAGGGGAGGATTTTCCCCCTGCCTGCCAGTGCTGATGTTTTCAGACTTGCTGATGTGAATGCAGGGTCTTTGTGACTTGCCTCCCTGAAGTGCTGAGCAGCAGCTCTTAGGGTTTGTCAGTGGGAGGTGTTGCTACACAGCATCACTCAGCCTTGGGTGCTGTGTACCTAAATACAGGTTCAAACACCCTGATGCCACCATCTGTGTAGTCCTGGGATTCCCTAGCACTGCGTGCATCTTCATGGTGGCCACAAGTGGAGTCACAGCAGCCCTCTGAAAGGGCAGACCTTCCTATCTAGCAGCACAAAACAGCTAAATTTCACAAGACTGCTACGTGCTGTATTTGTTTCGAAAGAAAAGGAATTATCGCAGTAAAACTGTAGTAGAAGACATGGGAAAAAAAGTCATTTTGAAGGCCTTGTCTTGTTATTCCCATATTTAAGTTACTGAGCACACGTTTTTAATAAGGACTGTTCACTCATGATTTGTATGCTGCCTTAGTTTTTGTAAAATTCTTTGGCCTTTTAGCACAATGAATGTCAGTGCAGTGACAAATCTTACCTGGTTTGGATCAAGCACACACAGACATGGAAAGAATTGATATCTGTGGTATGTGGCAACTAATCTTGAAGGAGAGATTGGGAGAGACGTTTTTAGAATCACTAGTGTCTTTCTAAGAATGATTGGCCTACTGTGATTTAAAGGGTGTTTGCAAATCCCAGAAGTCAAAGTTTCTTTTCATATGTAAAATTCATGTATATGCAAGGAATAATTCTTTTTGAAAAGCCGAACTAATCACTTCTTAATTGGATTTTAATTCTCTTCGCTATTAATGAGTGAGTCAGAAAAAATTAAAATGTTTCTAGACATTCAGATATTGTTTGCAGCTTAAAAATATACACATTAGACCTATTTGGATACGTTTTTTTTTTTTTTTTAAATTATTTTGCATTTCACAGCAATATTTCAAAACCTGTGTTGAATCTTACCTTTATAAGGTTAATTTAAAATCTGTACAAGTTTGAGGGGCATGTTTTTTGCTTAGGATGATTTTCAGTTTTATAAAAGCAAAGGGATTTCAGATGTACATGCCCTTTTAAACTTGAACAACTGTGATTACATTCATCCTTCCATCTCTCTATTCTGTAAATGGACAAAAGATTTTTAAAAGTGAGAAGTGAAACTGAATATTTGCAAATTGCTGACTATTTTTAAAAGTGGAAGTTTGTATTTAATTTCAGCTTAAAGTACTTTTAGCTGTGTGATGCAGTGTGAGTATTTGGACAGATTCATTTTGTTTGTTGTGATGATCATATCACTTTCTTTAGTATAAAAAGATACTGATTTCATATTTACTCACAGGAGAAGCACATAGTGGATGGCTGCCAAAGTATTTTTAATTCAGTGTGTAAGTCTCAATAGCTAGCTATATTATCTTAATAAACAAACAAAAGGAAAAACTTTGTTTTCAACCTCTCTCTTTCAAACCCTGTTACCTTTTCAGAAGCTAAACTACTGTGTGAAGGAGAGGACACTTGTCAGTGCAGAGGCAGAAATAGATAATCTTAGCATCCTTCTGAATTTAGGTCTGTGACTATCATGCTAGGCGGTGGTTTTCCTATTTCCTAAATAAAGATCATATAACAAAATCTGCATTTTAAAACAAACAATAGTTAGGAGGGCAAAGACCTTCACAGGAGTAAAGGTACAGAACATTTTTTATCTTACTTTAACTAGCAAGTAAAGTTACAAATCGTATCACACAGCTGTTAACTGCATTTACTTGCAGACCTCACTCTGCAGAGCTAAACTTCCAGTGTCTTTGTTAGATGGAAATTGTGCATACATTGTTTTCAAAAGCTAAAGCTTGTTTACTTAAATATTTATATATATATATATGTACGTATGTACGTACTAAAGAAGAATGACAAGGATTTTTGTTTGTAGTTTAATCCTCACCTACTCTGTAGTGATGTAGCTGTGCAAGCAGCATTGCTTTCTCTCTGGATCATACTAATAAGAACAAGGGCTCTAAATAAATGCTTCTGGTTCCAGTGGCTGAATTGAGAGTGATTCTTTCTGGCACAGAGACCCCTCTGCCATGTGACAGATAGGTACATCGCTTTGCTTTCTATATGTGCTAATAGCTGTAGTGAAATGAGAGTCTTTATTTGAAAATATGTGAGCAATGAGTAATATAACGTGGCTAGCACAAGTGGATCACTTCTAACTGTGATAAAGCAGAAAACACTAGTACCCTTTTATGAGCATTTACTCTTGTAAAAGCTGTCATCTTCTAAAATTAGGCATGAAATGTCATCATGGGAAATTCTTTAGGGCTTGCCCTTTCCAGTTTACCTTAATCTTTGAGATAGCAGCACGTCCCTTTATTGGCTACATGAATAAACCATTGGACTTGCTTCAGAGATAACACCTAATTTAAAGGTGAGATTGAATCAGTTGTTGAAAATAGTCTATTTGGAGAAGCTTAAATAGCTTCGTATATCTCGGTGTCTCACTGAATTGATTTTTTCCCCCTCCCATTTGTTCATCTTGGCAAGAGAGGTAATCATTATTTTAGCAAAGATAGGAATGAAAACTCTTAAATTGCAAATGTCACCTTGACATGCATCTTTTTTGTTGAGTTTTCATTTAATGGTATGTTATTTAACCTTAGCTGATGATGATAAAAGCCCTACTGAAGTCAGTTTTCAGAGTTGTTTAAAGGAAAAAAAAAAGTCTCTTGGTCAGAGAGAAACAGGAAAATTAGTGGTATCCTTTAATCATCAGGCAATGACTAGCCAGCAACACTGAGCATTACTGGAAACACAAGAGGGCCAGGTGCTCGCTTTGTGTAAATTGCCAGCAAGGACTGGAGCTGATGGATAGCATTTCAGAGAGGAGTCTCTCCGGAAGGCCTCATCTCTGCCTCAGCAATTCTCTTGTCCGTCAGCTGTTTTATTTGGTTATAGTGTTCAGTTTGTAACATCCAGCTAAATACTTGAATTCTCCTGTAGTGAGTTCTGGTGACCACTTTAGGAAAGATATGTTTGTGGCAGTAGCTGGAAATCTGTGTGAAAATGCCTTCAGCCTTTTGTTCTAAACGTTTCCATCTAATGAGGACTAAAATACTGAATTTTACCTAGAATAATCCTACATGATTTGGTGAAGCCTTCAGACATAGAAATAGTTTCATTTGAAATTTCTCACATTTCCTTAGCCACGATCAAATTAAAATCAAATGTGCTTTTTTTTTTTTTTGGCCAAGCCATGTGGATTTCCGTGTTTCACATTACAGGCAGTGCTCAGAATAAACGTGTTGCACAGGATCATATTACTATCATATTACTGTTGGGGTTTGTTAGTTACAAAAATAGATCCCGTTGATCATGTATGCTTTATAAAATACGATAGGTCTGTTTCCTTTAAAAGCACAGAGGCTGTAAATTTGCAATGAAGAAAGAATGTAATCCTCTGTTACTTCTATGTTCTAGTTCTTAGACTAGAAGCTGCTGATATGATACCAAAATGAAAGCAATGAGAAGTAGTCAACCAGAACTTGAGGATGAGCAGTGAGCTCCATTCACACCCACATTTTGTTGACTGTCAAAATGAGATGTGCTGGATCCTAAATTAGAACATGCACGCAGATACATGCATCAAAACAACAAGACATGGGAATTAGGCTAAGCAATTGCAGTGGATATTTCTGTACGTGGAATTGAGCTTTTCTTACTACAGTGCTGTGACAGTAGTAGAAAGGCATATGTGAAAGCATATGCTGTGTGTGGATGCTTGGTTATTTGGGGAGTTGGTTTCCTGAAAACCAGCAGATAGCTGTGTTGCCTCGCTGTGTGGTTTTGGGGGTTCTGGAGAGCTAGCACTCCTGGTTCTAGCTGCTGGGAAATGCCTGAAAATACACCAAATATTACAGAAGTATCTGCCATGGGTTGTGCTACCACCGTGATGAGGTAAAGTGGTTGTTGAGACAGCTTGGAAAGACTGGCCAGTGCTTGATCCACTTTTGCTGGATCGCCTTCTGCTTGTGATTAAATTTATATTTTTACAAGAAAGGACCACTGCATTGACTGCAATAAAATAATTCTCTAGCTCTTTGTTATCCAAAACAGTGTAACATTTAGTTGGGCCTCACTGAGTCACTGCCCTACCATGAGCTCTTTCTTCTCTGTACGCTATTCTCTAGTGTCAGAAATTTTGAATTTTTAAAAATGAAAAAAATCTAGAAATTAAAATTTTAGGTTAAAAATCTCATTTTAATTCTGTTCATTCTCCTTGCCAGGTCAGTCAGGGTATAGGATGTGTAAAAACGATACAGCCGTACCCCTTGCATTGTCTCATTTTGATGGTTTTTAGAGCTATTAAACAACCAAGCTGGTGATGGCCATTATTTGACCTGACCAGGCTGAGTATAAGGAAAAGGCTGTAGCAATTGGTGCAGATTGCTGAGGAAGTTCTACCCAATGTGCAGCATGGAAGGGATAACCTCTACTTCTCATTTACGGTAGTTACATAGAGTTAGAACAATAACAGCATTTCGCATTTCTTCTTGTCTTGTTTTAGGTTTTCTACCCTAGTAAAGATGGTACTAAGATCCCAATGTTTATTATTCACAAGAAAGGGATTAAATTGGATGGTTCTCATCCTGCCTTCTTATACGGATATGGAGGCTTCAACATATCAATTACACCAAGCTACAGGTAAGCAGGATAATTTATGCCTTCTTCTAAAGTATCTAATGTTAACGACTGTCAGACAGGTCTGTGGATGGATTACGGATCTGATAGAGTTAAGGATTTCAGGTCCTTGAGAAGTAAGATGGGGCCACAAGGACTGTACAGGCAGCATTTATCTGCTTTGCTGGTTCTGAATTCAAGGGAATTGCTCAGGGTCACAGAAGAAATTTGTGTCAGACTAGAGAAGTGCCGTGCTTTTCAGAGGTTTACAGTGGGCACTCTACTCTTTCAATTATAGCTTAACCTCTTCCTGCTTTGTCACTAACAGAAAAGCATATGGACATAATGAATTAAACAAGTTTTTAAGCCTTCTGCTGAGCTAATAACATAGGATTTTTCCTTTTTATCGATTTATACAATTACTTATGACTAAATATTAAAGAAAATGTATTTAATATAAATCATGAAAATAGTTGTATTTTCCTATTATACCTTCGATGAAGTTGTCAGAAGCAAAATCATACTGTGTTCCTTTGTAATCAGGAAAGAGAAAAGATGATTCTTTCTCAAGGCTTGTATGATACAGGCTCTGCATGTGCAAAGCAGTGCATTGTAAACCCAAAATGCCGTTTGCAAAACAGGATTTGTAGCCCTCAAAAGCCATAAGCTTTATTCAATAGATCATCTCTTTAAAGAAAATTCTTGTTTCCTCAGTAAGAGAATTTGAATAGATTTAGTAAAAGTGGCACTGATTGTCTTAGGGCTTTAATACATAACAAGTGTTCCAAGGTAAGAGGCAAACAGAAATGCAAAGGACTGAATGGAGAGCAGTTTTTCAGACAGCAGAAGAGCATCTCACTAACACAAAAGTAATGTATTATTAAACTGTCCTATTAAATTTGTGTGCTACCAGTCTTGCTTTAGAGTCAGCACATTTCAAGAAATCCTTTGTACTGCTTGCTCTTCCACGTCGCTGTGACTGTATTTCTGAACAGCATCTACAAATTCTGGTCCTCTATAGCAAATACCTTGTCTAAGAATGGACCTCACATCCTGCAGTCTGTGATTGCTTGAAAGTTTTTTATATGCCTTGTAAAACTACATTTTTAATTTCCTGTAGTTCTTGTGAGACACAATTATATAACCAGAATAGGTTTTAAATTCCTTTTTAGATTAGACTGGAGCATTGATTTATTACAGTTTTTTGTAGATGCTGAAAACCATGATAAAACCTACCATGTTTTCTTTTCTAAAGTAAATATAATGTATTTATTGATTAGGGTTACAATTTCACATACTGCAGAGCAGACATGAGCTGATTGCTGGCAAAAGCAGGAGAAAGTATCTCACAGTACCTTGCTCTGTCTCCCTTCTGTTAGCCCTGATGCTTGCTGGAACCTTTGCTCGTTTCCCTCACAAGGATGGCAGAAAACTCTCCTAGCAAAAAGAATGGATGGTTTTCTGCCAAATGGCAAGTTAAGAATTGACTTACAGGAGTCCAGCAAACACGAGCAGGCAGCAGGAGAGTGTAGCAGACAGAAGAGAGGAGGAAGGGAGAGAAGGGAGCAGTTATCTAGATCTTCCTGAGCCCCATGAAACTATGCTCCTATTATATGGTTGATTAAATAAGAATATGAACCTGTAACAGTTCCTTATAAGTAAACACACAGTGAACTATCAGTCACCTCCAGATCAACATCCATTATTCCACTAACAGTGTAAAGAAAACACAGGTGTGCTGCACCTCCCTCCTCATTCTCTCACCCGTAACATCAACACATCCCTTCTCAACATTTCTAAAAGAAAAATAAGCCAAAGCCTTGGAATGCATCTTTAATAAACTCAGAATTGCATACTTGATGAGGAAGCATGTTCCAAAACTAAGCAGACAAGATCAGAAAAAGAAATTGTAATAGAGAACCTGTGCTGGAAAGGTCAGACTTCTTTCTAGCTCCCCATTTACTTGGGGGATTCAAGTAACGTGACTATGTCCATGTTTCTGTATACTGCAGTATTCAGGAGTAGTTCCCAGGTTGAAGTGCTGTTCCCACCACAGCCCCACAGTCTTTTTTTGTAGATGAACTCAGACACAAGTGCTAGAAAAGAGCCACAATATGGTCAAGGCCAAGGCCTGCCACAGAGTTCATCTGATGCTGAGCTGAGATAGTTATGGAAATGCAACTGAGTAACAGCTTGCTTGTCAGACACCACCAACAATAAAACACTGTTTCTGGGTAAATATTCCTGATTTTTATTTGAACTTAAGGCTCTTGTAACTTTTTACAAACACACCCATTAACATCAGCCAGCTCTTGAGCTTGGAAAACTCATTTTTGCTCTATTCAGAAACAGATACTGCTTTTCACTTATTCTCTAACACACACACACACACACATTTTTTTCCCCTGAAAGTAAGAGAAACAAATCAACAAGTTAGAGGATCCAAAAATAACTACGAGGCTAAAGTCATTAAGTCAGTTACGCAGTGTTTTATTTTTGAATACAAGCATGCATCTTTTATGTTCCTCTGGACTGAAGAGCTGTATTTGGTAGCATTTCTAATACGGTGCACACTAGAGCACTGTCATTAATTATACAGCTTGCACAGCAAGCGCAATTTAAAACTGATGGAGTCGGCACCTGTGGCTTCGCAGAGCTGCTGTGGAAATGGTGTTGCAAGCCCACCAATAATGCTACAGGTTCTGCTAATTACACTGCAGGAATCAACATGTTTTCCTGTGTTGTTCTGTGTGTATCTCTGTAGGTGCAGTAGAAGCAATTTCTAATACATCCAGAAATACAACTGATCGTGAAGCAGACTGAAATTTTATTTCACTGCTACAGGGCCAGATTTGAGCAAGCCTTTAAGGAAAGAGCACAGGGAAAGTCCGTAAGCCCACAAAAAGGTCAAGCAACACAGCATAGACCAGTGCAGAGTGCAAGATAACTCCTCTGTTACCACTCCCTCCAGCTTCACAAAAGCCAAGAAAGCAACAAAGTCAAGTGACACAGGATATTTTCCCTATCACCAATGCATCAGCCTGCATTCCTCCAAAGAAGAAATCTGCAGCAATCAGCTGCAATACCCAACAGCACATCATTAATTTGGGGAAAGCATTCCTGTTCCTTGAAGCACAGCTCCTCATGTTGTTCTGTACTGCAAAAAGTACTTTTTTTTGTTACGCTTTTTACAAAAGAGTAATAGGCATAGGAAAGAACTCTCCAGAGAAAGAACTACCCTCTCCTCCCTCCACTGACCTTGTCAATCTTTCCTTGACTTTTCCTTTACCCTGCTTCCAGGAGAAGACAAACAGAGCTGATGAGAAAAAGGCTATAGAGACTGTTAGGAAGGACAGGGAGCCCTGTAACGAGGCATTTTCTGGACATCCAGGGTTACTGGGCAGTTTGCTGTGACTCAAGCAGCAACTTGACGTGAAATTGTATCTGGAAGCAAGAACCTACCTGGAATAACATCGGAGGCAATAGCAGGGTTAGGTTCACAATTATTTTGTGCTGATTGTTTTGGATTTTCACTTTCTTAAAAGCTAGTGAGTCCTGATTATATACTAATAAAACCTGATTCCTCGAATTTAAAAGCTGCTTTGAGAAAGCTTATTATAAACTCTAGGCACACCCACCTCAAAGTATTGGTCAAGTTAAGACTCCCAACTCACTTTACCACTAACTATCCCTAAGGGGGTATTAATTGTTATTTGCAATGATGTTAGCAGATATGTATGTTGGGGGGTATGGCAGTAATATCAGAAGTGCCTAAATCTCAGTAGTATTGCTGAGATTGAGCACAGATGTACTAAGCCTTACTTTGGCAATATAATGATTGTTCCCAAACCCTGGAACTCATCCCACTGAGGATCTGTGTGATAGAAGGAGCATTTGCTCAGGGAAATGGGGACTACGTTCCTATAATAAGACTGACTGGCTGCATTAGGAGCTCTTCTGAAATTAAGTATCTTATGAGATCACAAGTCACCGAGGCCCCTCTGCAAACTACCTTCAAGTTAGCATCTCTGCTAGAGGAGTCTCTGTGGATAGGATGCACTCAAGAATTTAGTTTTGCGTTGCTCAGACTCTTTGTTGGATAAATGTGCTGATTCCTCAGATAGGCACGGTTTCTTTCGGAAGACGGGAAAGGATGGACTCTGTTCTGGCATGTTTTGTTTTTCAAATATTCTCAGGCAATATATTTGGGTAGCAAATTCATAGCTTACCTTCAATTACTATTATTTCAGTTACTAGAAGATAAGTAAGTTGGACCAAAATTTCTATTAATTTTGTTTGGGACAGAAACAAGGAAAAACAGTGCAGAATATTCTGGAAGGTTTAACATACCAAAAATAAGAAGCCATCATCTCATGGATTAGGCTACTGTCAGGCTACTCCACGTCCACATTAGCAATGTATCAACTTGTAGAAATCAGGCATGCTGGAGTTTGACAGAATAATTCTCTCTGACCTATGCATAATATGCTTAAAGAATATAAATCTTACATCTGATCGGCATGTCCCAGTGATGTAAGGAAAAATATGATTCACAGTGATGGACTTAAGAATTGGTCTTTACAGAAGCAGAGAGAATTCATGCTTCCTGAGCCATCTGATGGCCACAGATAACCTGTCCAGGATGGAATTTTTTCCTTTGGGTTATGGAAGTACAAAAATTTCTTATCAGTCATCCTTTTACTTTTCTTTTTTTCTTAATCCTTAGTATATACTGTCAAGACCAATGCCAGGTACATAGATAATTGCTTTGAAATATTTACTTATTTTGATACTACATCCATGTGTGAGATGCTGTAAGACTACTGTCTTTCCGGACATTTCTGATGAGCATTAGGGGGACTTAAAAATAAGAAGGCCAAACCTTGCTCTTGTTGAATAGGATTAATTTTTGCAGGAATGGTTTCTCGCATGAGCAAAAATTTCAAGAAGATAATAAATTTTAACCTACTAGAAAAAAAAAATGATTTGTTGGGATTCAGTTTGAATATATTACTGTTCCCCTTGGCATATGCATGGTTTGCCATCTGGAGCTTATGCTATGTTAAGCTACTGCTTCAACAGATCAGAGATCTATTTTTCTTCTTAATTGTTAAATATAATCTAAATGACTTCAATCCCTTTTAAAAATATAGTAATAACTTTGGTACTTTTGCAATTTAACAATTTAAAAAAAATAAATTTTTAAAAAATAAGTAATTAAAAAAAATAAACAGGTTTGAAAGATATTAGGGAAGGCAGAACGAGTAATTTCAGTTTTTACTATTTGTTATGTATTTAACAATGCAAGTGAAAATAATGAGGGAAAGGGATTGACCAGAACTTGACTGCAGACCCTGGTGCAAAACAAGGGCAGAAGCAGAACTTCTTTTTGCAAACACAATTTTATAAAGGTCAAAGAAAAAGTGTTAAGCAGAAGCTGAAAATACCAGCCCTTAAGCAAAGTTCACGTGCTGATCATAACTCTTAATTGTTTGCTTTCTTCATTTGGGCTAAACCCTGAAAAAGCAAAGGGCCCACCATGGAGGAACAGGTCGAAAGCCACAGGGGTCTGGTGGTACTGGACAGTTTTTGTCCCCACACTGAAGGCTTCAAAGATGATCAAAAAATGGTGACGTGTCTTGGAGGGTTGTCTTCGAGGCAGAACCACTGGCTGCTCTCCTCCAGAGTGCAGAAATAAAGGAACAGTGCGGGTTCCTTTTGAGAGGCTGCAGAGTGTTTCATTTCCATATAAAACCATTGAAGAAAGTCTGCCTACTCAGATTTGCTGTCAGGGCAGGACTTTGCTCATGATTTCATCATTGATCTTGGGAGAGATCTTTTCCTAAAAGTACTCTTATAAAAGTGTTAGGAAAGTAAGCAGTTGGAAGTCTGAAAATAATCCTTTGTTTGCTTTTTCAGTGTGTCAAGACTTATTTTTGTGCGACACCTAGGAGGTGTTCTAGCAGTGGCAAACATCAGGGGCGGTGGTGAATATGGAGAGACCTGGCACAAAGGTAAATCAGTCCAAGCCTGGAAACAAAACTGCAGGCTTAGCTGTGAAGATGACAACATTCTTTCTTTCCCTCTTCCATACTCATATCTCCTTTTGGCTTGTAATTATTCCATCAAAATGTATTTTTTTCTTATATATACATATATATATGTATATTTATTATATATTTCCAGTGTATTTTCAGTGAATTTTTGCAACCTACATTAAAATATTTTTGTACAAAAACAATATTTTCTGAAAAAAATCTTAATTTTTTTAAGTAAGATTAATTTCCTAAACTTACAGCATTTGGAAATCCAGCTATTTATCTTAAACTATCTTCCAAAAATGTCTGTCTGTGTTGCAAGAGATCTGCCTCACTTTCACCTACCTCTTATATTATGTGTAGATGCACATGACATGTTCTAGATCCCCAGGGCAGCACCAGCTGACTACTTTGTCTTTCTTGGTATCACAGAAAGAAGCTAGCCATTTGCAGAACCCTACAGAAGGTGTGAACTTTGGAGTTCAAAATGCATCTATTCCAGCTTTGCATGTTAGAAAACAGACATCACCAGATTGGTTTTGCACAATTTATGAATAGGCCAGGTTTCATTTTTTATTTAGAGAATGAGATTGTTTTCATACAAACTTCAGTCAGCTCCACAAGTGCAGTGGCATATCACACACTCTGTACTCTTAGGAGGTCCAGCTTCTTGTAGACAGGCATTTTTTAAGCTGCCTTCAGTGCTGCAGGGAAGCCAGGTCACTCACTACAGAACTCTGTCAATCCCTTTCCCTTTTTCTTAGTATCTTTGATGTATTACTCCATATTTTTGCAGTACAGTCTTTGTTTAAATCCTTTGATTGCCTTTGTCAACTTGTCTGATTGTTGACAATTTTCTGCATCCCTTCACTAGAGGAAGAAGCTGAAGGAAGTCCCACTCAGCTGCATAACATACGCAGTCATTATTCAGCGATGATGCCTTATTAATATCCCGAGAATTTGATGGATAAGTTGCTGGAGATGTTGTCAGGCAAATGGACCAAAACAGTGATATTTATGATGCAACAGTTTGCACTGGGAGTAATCCATAATAACTTTGTATCAAACAAAATGGTATTCCCAGATCATTACATCTGTCACTTTTCGTTTCATCTGTGGTAACTTTTTGTCTGGGTCATTTCCTCACAATTGAGTTAAAGATGTAATGTTTTATAAATAGAAGCTATATAAGCTTGCAGATGCAGGATATTATTGCTAAAGGTGAAGTATCCTTCATTAATTTTAATTTGCCAATTGATTTGTAATAGGTTTTAATAAAATTTATCTTAATATGATAATGCTTTTTTTAGTCCACCTATTTCCTGCTTAATTTTGACCCAAGTCTTTTATTGCACTTGCGAAATTAGATATGCATCTGTTCTTTGTTAACTCTGAAAGCAATTACAGAAAGCAGTTTAACTGTATAGACAGGCTTCTGACCTTACATCAAATCAGAACTTTAAGCAGAGTAGTAAGATTTATTTCTCTCGTGTTGCCACACTTTTGAAGAATTTTTCATTGTCCCAACATGTCTCTCTTCAACAGTCATGTTAATGTGAGAATGATGTTTGTTTTAAGAAAATAAATTGCTGGTTCCAATCCTACAAGGAGATCTCTATGACTAAAGGCTAGAGTTTTCTTACCTGACTTTTTGCAACATAGAAATGAAGCATCCAGTGTAAGCCGAGTGTGTGGGATCATTGGATGGACTATGGAGATAGAGACACCTCCAGATGATAGCTCGTTCCACTTATTTTAGAGTGAAGTCCTTATTTGACCACAGCCATATATCATCTGATTTGAAAGCGTAATAGTAAAAAAAGGTAAATTGCCAGCCACATATTCTATGCCCAGGAAATTAGAAGTCCTTATATTATATAGGAGCAAATTGGTAGTTTTATTCCCTTAAGAAACTGCCACTGTGTTTAATGCTGTTAGAGTCCCATTAAGTCAAACCTCAGGTGGATTGTATGTGGTCATTTTGTTTATATTTTGCAACACAAAGCTTTTAGCTTTAATTTTTTCTGGTTTGAAACGTTACCTGGCACTCACTCCACGGTATAGGTATGTATTATTCAGAGTTTCTGAAAGCATTAGAGTTATCGACAGAACCATTTTATACTCTGTGTTGAAAGAATCTTTCGTTTTTGCTGTCTTTCTGACCTGTATCAATTATTAAAATGTTCATGAAACTGGAACTGTTCCCAGGTATTTTTGCACACATGTTTTCTGAATAGATGGTATTAAATGGATTTTATGGAATTGGAATCAACTGATTTGTTTTATTTGTGTGCTAGGTGGTATCTTGGCCAACAAACAAAATTGCTTTGATGACTTTCAGTGTGCTGCCAAATACCTCATCAAAGAAGGCTACACATCTCCAAAGAAGTTGACTATTAATGGAGGCTCAAACGGGGGCCTATTAGTTGGTAAGGACTGCTTGTATATTTCCTGGGTTTGGTACTTCCCTGGGCTTTATCAAAGTAATCAGACTAAAATGTATCAGTTCCTCTTCTTCAAGGATTGCCAGAATGTCAGCGCAATGACATATACCAAGCATTAAATTCCACTTCAGTTCCACTTCATTTGACATTCCCAAAGAACATTAGGATTCTGCAGTCTCTAACAAATGCTGACTGTTAAAAGCCAAGCTTATGATTACTTCTGTGTTAGAGCAAACCCCATGGCAAAATCAGAGAGTAAGAATGCTTTTAAAAAAAGCTTAGTTATTTTAATTTATTTATTAAGGCTAATTAGTATGAATCAATAACAGAACAAACAGAAAATCTGTTACGTAGGATCAGGAAACTTTGTACGTTGCATAAACCAGAATCCCATGTTCTGCAGTCCTGCATCAGTTTCTCATTCAGTCTTTCTGTAGTCATGCATTCCAGTTCTTAGAGGGAAAATGAAAACATGACAGTTCTGCATTTATGGTCTCTGTACAGAAACAGGTTGACTGCACTTTAATTGTTTAGAGTTAAAACAGGACCACAAATAAAACCATGCAAAATGAAATGCAAAGTACAAGTACGGTTACTTGAAAAATACAAGATCTTTTGACAAACTATGTAAACACAATACCATTGTTACAAAGGCATCTTGTTCACATATAATTTACTACCGTGTTCTTAAATTCAAGGAAATTAATAGCCTTCTCAAAAAAGCTTTCACAAAAATCTCATAGTCTAACTAGTATTTGAAGAGCTACAGAATTTATTTCTGAATATATCCCAGTGTCTGAAAGTGGCAGAAGAAAAAGAAATGATTTTATTCAGTCTTGAAAGGAGAAGGAAGTGCAAAGGAATAATGTTGAGGTTTGTTTGGATTTCTTTAAACAACATGAAATACATGTGACAGTATGACAAAGATAAGCTACTCATAAGAAGGAAAAAAAGCATATTTCAAGTTCATAAACATCTGGTTTGTAGGAAATGAGCAGATTTATTAGGACCACCCTTTGCATGCTCTGCTTTTTATACTCCTTCCTATTTATCTGCTGCTGAATACTGGCTCTGTTGATTTTTTGTTTGTTTTTTGAGTAAACTAATATCCTCTCTAACATATTTGTGAGCACAAATATCTGAAAATTCAGTTATGCTATGCAACATGTTGTTTAAAACAGTATTTTCGGAAGCTTACTTGGACTTTAGTTTCACTCAGGATGGGATTCATCCTACCCAGCTTTAGTCATCAAAAAAATCTGTGTTTCTGCCTGAACAAGTCAGCTGGGCTCCTTGTTTTGGTTAGGGGAAGCAAGTGACATCTGCAGAGTGCACAGCATGCCAGTGTGAGACAGGTGCTGTGACTCTAAACCTCTCTGCTGTGAAAAGTCTAGCGTTAGAAACCTTCAGTTGCAATTGCAGGCTGATTACAATCTAGCTGAGTTTTCTTGCTATTATGGAGCTAGATGGGGATTTTTCTTGACTGGGTAAAATTAGGTGAATTTAGGAAATACTCGTAAGGTGTTTTTTCATCAAAGCAAACCTAAATTTTGCAGTAGCTTTTCCTGCAACACTAGAGAACATAACAGATATTTTAGGTGCAAGGATACAGTGCTACATTTTCTTAGTTTTCATTTATTGAGGAAAAAACTGACAAGGAAGAGTACTGTCATTCCTCCAAAATACTGTTTCCTTTTTAGGCTTAACTAACAAGAGATGCCTCTGAAGAGTGCAGCCTCATTCAGCTGCAAAACAAAACTTCCTTGTCCTGCAGAGTGGCATCCCAAAGCTTAGCAGAACAGCACAGCTGTGAGCCGCAAACCTCCTTCATGCAAATGCAGTGTTCGACCTCTCGTGTTTGCTTGGACAAACAGTTCTGAGGTTCTGAAATCTTATTTTAGTAGCAAATTTTAAAGCTCAATGTGTAGCGGGGTAAAACTCATGAATAAATTCTGGTTCGAGGTAACAGTTCATCAATGCATGTAATTATGGCTAATTAAAGGGGTGCAGTGGGAACCGATGAGTCTCCGTAAGTGTTTTCTTACTGAAGTAACAATTCAGAGAGCTAGGAGAAGGAGTTTTGATCCAGTCTCAAGCAACACATGGTGCTTCAAGAGACTCTGCAATGAAGGGTACTAAAATTCAGTCTTATGATAGGTGTTTCAGCTTTTTTTTCCCCTATTATAACAGCATTTCTGTTCAAGAAAGGAAATAACATTAAAAGGAAGGATTTGATCAGTAGATTGAGATAAAAGGATGAAGACCTCTTAGGCAGCAACTATTTAAGACACCATATGTGCCTTATGGAAAAGGCTCAGAAAGGACCCAGGAAGAGTCATGTGGTTATGTCAGAGATGACCAGAAGTAGAATAACATCTTCCATAAAGCAGAAATCACATGGAAATGAAGAAAATTGGATAGAGGTGAACTGACAGGGACTGATGGAGCACAGGAGATTGATGAGCAAATTGCTAACAACAAAAAGATTGGCAATAAAAACTTTCTGTGCAGATCAAAGCCAAGAGGCTGGCCAGAGAATCTGCGGGGTCATGATCTATAAAAGGAGCACTAAAGAAAGATAATGGCAGAGCAGCACAACTAAATGCTCCATTTATGTTGATGTTCCCTCCTGGGGAGCACGGGGAGTTCCCTGCACCAGAGTCTGTCTTTGTGGGGAATACTCTGAGGAGCTGACTCAAGCTGAAGCATCAGCAGAAGAGGTTTTGGAATAAATCAATCAACTGAAAAGCAGCGTCTTGCCAGGACCAGATGGTGCGCACACAAGATCTGAAGTGAACTCCAGTGTGAAATTAGCAGACTACTAAGTCTGAATATCTGAGGAACAGAAGGGGATGAGTGTAATGCCAGGTTTTAAAGTGGCAGTCCACAAACTGCAGATCGGTAAATCTCACTTCTGTAACAGGCAAGCTAATTGAAAGCAATAAATAATAGTTGACATGCCTAGGGAAGAATTTTTGAGGCTGAAGTTGCAGCTTGCAAATCTTAAAGCTGCTTGAAGGAGTCAGGGAGCACGTGGTGCTTGTAACAGTGTTCTAGTTATTGGATTTTCAAAAGCTTTTGACAAGGTCCCTTGCACAAGGCTATGCAAGAAAGTTCTTGTTGAGCTGGAAGGAAGGTCATGATATAAGCAGGCAATAGCCTGCTTAGCAGAAAGCAAAGAATGGGAGGCGATCCATTTTCACAATGGAAAAAAATGAGAAGATAAAGAATTTGGGAATGACTGTGCCTAGATGTGGATGCACGGTGATTAGCTCTGAATTAAGAAAGGTATTCTGAGATCCATTGTAGTTTGGTGAAAATCTCAGTGATATTATTTCTTATGCTACAAATAAGTAGGGGAATATGTAAAATCCTCAGGCAATAGATTTAAATCAAGCAACAGAAGTTGGATTGAAGAACTCATTGCTACAGGTTATCACAACACTAGATAAATAAACAATCAGAAAGGAAAAAGTTGTATTTATGGAGAATATTTGTTTTGATGCCTGCAGATAATCTCTTAACTGAGGGTAAACCTAACCAACTAATTGCAAAAGCTGGTAATGTACAGGGAAATCTCTCAGTATTTGCTTTATTTCTTACAGCTTTTCCTACAGCATCTGCCAGTTGCCACTCTTGTAAATTGAATGCTAAGCTAGATGGAAAAGTACTCTGGTTATTTTTATAATATGAGGCAAGCATTATTCTTAAAGAAATTGCCCATTCCAGTAGCAGGAAGATGGAAATAATTAAAAAAAAAAAACTAATTTGCTTTATTAAAATGAGGTTGTTCCTCTGCTTTTTAATAGTTTGCTTTTATTAGAACTCTTTTCACATGGATTTACATAGTAATTACAGAGGAAAACTTTCATCAGTAAATGGAGTTTTTTCTCTTTAATGTCCTTTTCTTTATTGACACTATTATTAGAAGTTTAGAAAGTGAATGGTTTACTAAACTTCAATTTCAGTAATCTGAAAGCTCACTTATTTAAAAAGTACGTGTTGTCTTTGGAAGGCAATTTTCTAAGAACAGTATATTTGGAGGAAGGAGGTAGCTTTTGAAAATGCTGTCTTTGGGAGGTATTTACCCATTTGTATGTTTGCTTTCTGTTTTGCTTAAAAGACTATTTGATTTCATAGACACTGGCAGGCTTCTCTGTGTAATTGGTTTTATATTGTATTCAAGTTCTTTGGCTTCAGATACTGTATGGGAACCTATATTTCTTCTCCTTTTGACTTAACAGTTCTGTATTTTATTTTTTCTTTTGAAAAGAAACTCCACGTTATAAAAGACAGCTCTGCAGAAGTTGTTCTGATATGAACTTGTTGGCAGTGAGCCTTTTACTGCTCAGTCTAATTCTTTAAGATAAGAATACTAACACAGTTGTTTTCCTGTCAAAGCTGCCTGTGCTAATCAGCGCCCCGACCTCTTTGGTTGTGTTATTGCCCAAGTGGGAGTGATGGATATGCTCAAGTTCCACAAGTACACCATTGGCCACGCTTGGACTACTGACTATGGTTGCTCTGACTGCAAAGAGCAGTTTGAATGGCTGTGCAAGTAAGTGTCCTTTAAATATTTCTGTGCTTTTTAAAATGCAGACTCTGATCAACAGTTTCAGGTTGTCGTGATCAATAGCTATTTGAAGAATTATTTCATCCTTGCACAGAATTATTTCCTCCTTTCCCACACTGGATTTAGGGAGTTCAGAATTGCCTTACAAGTCAGCTTTGCTTGAACAACTGTCTTCAAAACCCTGTTGATTCAACTGGCCATGGTTTCAAAGACCATATTCTACTATCAGCTTTAATGATTTATAAGATACTCTTTCTGAATAATGACTACTGTAGGCTGTAACAACAGAATTTACTCAAGTGAACCACTACATAAATTGTATTTTTATGATGGGGGATAGACTATCACAATTATGAATTATATTATACTGTGTGGATAGGGTTTATTTGTAGGAATTGAATGGCAGTAGACCACAACAGGATATTAATTCAGTTCTCAGCCTCTTGCTGAGAAGGTCTGGAAAGATTATTTAGAAGAAAAAAAATCAAAGAGACACTGTGTGCGAACAGAAATGGTTTACGTATTTATATGGCAAATAATGACTGAGAGTGCCATCATTTTAAAATATTTTTCTGGCACCTCATCTCCTGTTACTGTATTTGTATACCTTTAGTAACGAAGATTGACATTACTGGAGAGTGCCTCAGACATACTAAACAATTTGGCTTGTCTGAAATGTAATAGTGTTTAGATACATTTTTTAGTTTAGAAAAAAAAAAAAAGTCATATCCAAATGCTAGAGTCTGTTGGGCCCATTGTAATTAGTTTGTTTCAAGGCCTCCTGCTGTTCAATTTAAGGCTTCAGTGGCAAACACTTTTTTTGTAAATATAGTCCACAAAGCAATTAACAAGTCTCATAATTCATCTTATTAGTAGCTTTCAAAACAAGATTTAAAATGATCCAGATACTCTTCGTTATTTTGAACAATAAAATTCACCTGAATATGTGTGAATTCAGATACTTTGAAGAGGTAAAGTGGAAGCAAAGTTTTTAAATTCATTCTGTGACTAGGAGGAACACATACGTAGAAAGCAGTCATTCTGTACCTACTTATATTCATTATACTTAACTCACAAAATTTAAATGCATAATTTTAAAAACATCTTCCATTACAATACATTAAATACTTATTTCTTGATGGGAAAACTTCAGCTGCTTTGTTTCACATTCAACTGTCAAAGTATTTAAGGCAAATAGACTGCTATGTGCTGACCATTATTTAGCTTTTGTTTTTTTTCCAAAAAAAAAAAAATCTACAAATTCACTGATTTCTTCATTTCCACTTAAAAAATAAAGCTAGGAATCCGTTGGGTTAGACGTTCAAGTGTTGTCATGTGTTCTTAAAAATAATTTGGGTTTACTGTACGAATACTTATCCACATGTGAAATTGATTCAAAAGTAAAGCAAAATTATCTTTGTATTTCCTGTGATTAAATAGGGGAAAAAAAGAAAGCTACTACCCTACTCTTGATTTAAGAAATGTAACGTTCTTTCTAGCTGTAGCTTTGTCTAAATGAAGTGTGAAATGGTTAGGTGGAATACTTTGTGACTTACTATTACATTTCATTTCTAACAGAGTATCTTGTGTTGAGATATGCAGATATATTTTTAATGTTATGCTGCAGTAGTTTTAAAAAAAAAAGAAGTAAATTCTCCTGCAATGAAAACAAGTTTTTGTAAGTCGGATTATTCCTTGATCAAAAAATAGGAATCAGTCTTCCATGGAAAGCAGGAAAACCTACAGTTTCCTTTCAGTTTCCTGCATAGTATTCCATAATGCGTGTTCAAAAGTGGTGTAAATCTTAGAGGAAGCAAATTTAATAAGCCTACAGCATTTGTGGCTTACTATCAGAAACTGTCTCCAAATTTGCATGGAAAAAAGCTATTCACATGCAGACGTGTGCTGGGGAAAAGTCTTGACTTTCTTGTTTCCCAGTAGGATGGATCCTGCAGTGAACTTTACAGCTTTTGCTCAAGTTTCCCTGTTGCCCATTTGTGATTTTTTGATATTTCTGTACGGTGTATGCATATGCCTCATTGAAATTAAAGAAATGTACTTGCTTTACATTTGCGAGCCAGAGATCTATGACGTATCATTTGCCAGGGGTGTAATTCTGACCTTTGCAACTGAGAACTAGTATTATGAGCGCTGTGACAATTTCAATAGGAGAGGACCTTCTTGTTGGGTCTTGAGGAAAAAATACATGAACATTTTGTGTGCTTTTTTCAGGTATTCTCCACTTCACAATGTCAAGCTACCAGAAGAAGATGGCATCCAGTATCCCTCCACGCTGCTCCTCACAGCAGACCACGATGATCGTGTGGTCCCTCTACATTCGCTGAAGTTCATTGCTACTCTGCAATACGTTGTGGGCCGAAGCCGTAAACAAACCAATCCACTTCTCATCCACGTTGACACCAAAGCTGGGCATGGAGCAGGAAAGCCCACTGCTAAAGTTATAGAAGAAGTGTCCGATATGTTTGCTTTTATAGCACGATGCCTAAATCTTGATTGGATTGAATAGGCAAAATGTTTATTACTGTCTCCTTTAGAAAAAAGGGCTTTAACACCATTTAAGACCAACCAGACTACTACTTGGTGTAGTACTTACATTTAAGAACTGCAGTTTAATATTTTATTGATCCAACCTGCTATGGAATTTTGATCTTCTGTGCTTCCCTTTTTTTTTTTTTAGAATTTCTTTTCTACTGCGTTTCAGAGTATGTTTTAAGTAGCATGTTCAGATAAATAGCTGAGCTACTGTCAGTGCTATTGTGAGCATTTAGATTCCAGAGTTAGTGCTAGCTGAGCTGATTTCATGTAAACAATTTCAATGTATTTTGCACCAATAAGCATATCCAGGTCAACTGTAATTAAATGTAAGTACTGTCCACATACAAGAACTCTGAGCATACTTTATTTACACAGTAACTTATTTAAGAATGGAAATTGAAAGTGTTCTTTGATAATCATGAAATACTGAAGAGATGGTAATCTGGGTAATTAATTACCCAAATATTATTAAAAACCTTATATTTCATGCTCTTTGTAACTGTGTTACAGTCTGTGATAACAGTGTTGCTAAATTGTTTTTTCTTTCTAAAAAGACTTCAAACTGTCACTGATTTTCTCTTCTGTCATTTATTTCCTCATAGAAGAGAAAAACTTGAAGAATTCTTAGATTCTCATTCTAAGCTCAGTCCAGGTACGCGTACACACTTAACAATGTTCCCTGTCTGCTGTTAGCTCTCTAACTATTTCTTAACAGTAGACCAGACACTCATTTGTTCAGATTGTTCAAATTTAAGTTTTCCAGATGCATCTGACAGAATATTTTCTAAGGAGCCAAAATCTGAAGATACGTATATAATCTAGTCCTGGCTGCAGAACAACAAAAGCACATAGGCAGACGCCTTAGTGGTTTGACACACACAGTATTTGAGCTGCCATTTCCTGACTTTGATTTGGGCTGTAGAGCGATTAAGTAGATGTAAGTAGATGTTCCCTGCTAGCTGTTTAAATTCTGATGCACTGCAGCAAATTAGGTTTTGATCTGGGGAGCAAAAAGGAATTCTACCAATTACTAGTCTTGTTGCCCCTCTAGAAAATACTACCACTTTCCAGTTTTGGATAAACTAATATACTCTTCCACGATCATGCTTGTTGTCATATTTGTGCTTGGACCCTAAGGCAGGTATTTTAACTCTGGGCTGAAGAGTTTTATCTCTAAGCAAATGATGTCTCGGCTCAGGAAGAAGAGGGAGTGGTATTTAAAAGTGGAGTAGGCTGCCGTTTATTCGCACCAGATTCATGCTCTTTCTCTCACGCTCTCAGAATTCTCCTGATTTCCCCTGCAGTCCAGGAAGGATCATGCCTCCAAGGCCTTTATAATACATAATCTGATTTTATGGAAGGGGAAAAAAAAAAAGTCTGCTCTCCTATGAAATACCATACTGCGAAACCCTGTATGTCATCTGGGGCCTGTTTATGGGTATTGCAGTTTTGCCAGATATATTGTGGATTGATGTGTTTTGATCACAGCACTGTATTAAACAATCAGACAAACGGTCAGGGATTTTTTTTCCCTCCAGGTTGTGAAAAGAGGCTTCAGGTTCAGCTCAGCCCCTCTTCCCCACCCTTTTCCCATAGGCACGGGAACTATTTTCTAAGATCATTGTGGAATTTCTAACAGCTGCACTGTAGTGGCAGGAACAAAGGACATGAGCAGTGCCATCTCTGGTGGTAACACCCAAGGGCTGCAGCATCTGGCCTCTTATTGAATGTTACAGTACCATCAAGAGGACAGAACTTCCTCTCCAAGACAAGAGCTTTTCAGGACAGGGTGTGTAGAAAAGCACATTCCTTGGACATTGAAACTGAGGTGAATTGTATTGGTGTCTTGAATTGCAATGCCTTGGGCACAGCTACCTCAATCGTCTCTTCAGGTCTTTGTTTTACTCAGCTGCTCAAACATAAAACTTCTGGCACAGGATAAAAATCATTCATTTTCCTGCCAAAGCTTTCTGCTGAAGCTTAGTTCCCTGAATGGCTCCATATCAGGCCAGATGACCAGTAATGGGGGCGGTGGAAAAATCATTGCTCTTTGAGTAGCAATCAATAGTATTGAAAGTGGATTTAGCTTGCTGGAGACACCACTCAAAAAATAAATGTTCAAGAGAACATACCCTGTAGAATGCTGGTATCTCTATTAGCAAGGCACTTTGTTTCCCTAATAAGGTCTTAATTTCAATATTTTAATTGATCTTATCAGGTATGCCAAGTACAGGATTCAGGTGCCAGAAAGTGATGTTGCAGGGGTGTCCTATTGGCTGCATGGCTTCTTTCAGTACAGAAAGGATTATGGCCCCAAATGGAATCCATAATTAACTCTGAGCAAGTAATACGCTTGTAATACAGCAGGATTTAAGCCTTTAGGATCTGGATTAAATAGACCTGGAACCAAACCATTTCTGGTGTATAAAACGATAACGAAATCTCAGTTAATCCACTTTCAAGGGTAGCTTCTTCTCTATACAGTGGAAATGCTATTTCATGGAGGGGTTCCGTATTCTGTGCCTTTTATTTCCAGTGCATGAAGCAAAATTCACTGGATGGGTGCAGTGCGTGGTAACCTCATCACAACTAAGTACATTTTCAAAGTCTCGTTTCTTAGAAAAACAGATACCAACATTTTGCCCCAAGATCAAAACTAGAAAAATCTTTAAAGTCCTGTAAGAGGCTTATATTACATAAAAAAAAATCTGATTTTAAGTGGAAATAAATGAACTTTTTGTATGCTGTTCCCTTCTGATATTCTTCACAGCTAATGTAAAGATATTGTAGTCATCTTTGCCCTCACGAGAATACATTTGCATCAGTGTTAATATATGTGAAAAGGGTTGGAAGTTTTTAAAAAGTTTAAAGTCTTCATATTCTTCACAGAAAAAGACAATAGAATTCCCTCATATTTGAGTTGATTTAAATTTTGGTGTCTGGAAAAAAAAATTAAAAATCCTGAATTTAGATAGGTGCTGCTCCCTCCCCAGCCATATAACCACCAACATTTAAGGGCAGAAGAAGGGCAGCTGACTGGTGGATATACAAGAACAAGGGACGCTCAAGATAGATTTTGGAGACAGCTGTTCCTGGCACCCAGAGCTTCTCCTGTTTCACCAGGATTTCTTGACTTGGCTCTACTTTGCCGTCTGTCTGTGGGAAGGCAGAAATATGAGCAGCAGTACTTTGGATTCGATACGGCAAGCAACAGCTTTCAACCATCTCTGTTTGAAAGGTTATGTCAGGTCGTTTATTTATTTTAGCCTGAGGTAGCCCCTCAGGGTTGCCTAAAGATCTGCTTATAGACTCTTCCTGACAGCCTCTCCTGTGAAAGGGCTTTTCCAAGCTGAGTAGGATTTAGGGGGGAGGGCCAAGGGAGGCACTTGGAAGCCTGGCTAATTAACAACCACCCAATTTTCTGCCAAGCTCTCCTACTTTGAAAGTCTTTAGTAGACAGCTTTTGTGCAATTGCCTCTTTGTGCAGACCTCTCAGGGTCTGGATAGTCCATGCTGTTTGAACAACCAGGTTTGGCAACTTTTTTCATTTCTCCATGTGTTCTTTTAATTATTTCTGCCTTACTATTGTTGCTTGCCAGGAAAAGAAAAAGCATTCCTCTGATTTTTTTTTTTTACCCTTGAAGGAAGAGGAGGTCTTCCAGTACTTGTGTCTGTGAAGATAACCAAGGTGTGTTCTCAGATAACGTTATTCCTGAATAATTCCACTCAGTTTCTGAATAATCTCATGTCTTCAGTTTATTCATGGCAGAGAGATCTCAGTGATGGAGTCCCTGAGTGGAAGTTAGACTAGCTACTGGCATCTGCAGAAATAAACTGAAATTCTGGACTAGGAGACGAACTGTGATTTGGCCGTTTCTCCTTGTTTTTCATAGGAAGACTAACTGAAAATTTAACATTTAAAACCAAAGCTAAGTGGTAATGTGTCAGTAAGAATCTCTGCTCTGCAGACAGCCCTCTACATTGACAGCAGGAGTAACAGAGTCAAGGAACAAACATGGTGCCCACATCCTTACCCACAGCAAGGTAAGTTTAGTGCTGAAGGTCTGAAGAGCAAGGGTCAATCGTTTCATGGTGATTTCCACTAAAGATTTCGAGCTTCCACAGCAAATGCAACATGAGAGCTGGAGTCAATGGATCAGTGTCTGCAAATGTGATGTTTCTAGCCTGGTGCAGGCTGTTCAGAAGATAACCATTTGTGCATTACTACTTTCAATGTGTATCAGGCATCTGCGTACAAGAAGGAAGGAGACATTCTTCTTGAACCGCTTCAAACGCGTGTGGGATGGTGTTGCAAGCTATTTTAAATAGCATGCATGTTAGGTAGGCATCTCATAGTGCTAACTGGAACAATAAAGTAGACATTTGTCTATAAATGGAACACTATTAGGCCCAAAATATTATCTATAATTTTCATCTTAGCATTGCTGTCAAAATATAGTGGAAGTAATCAGATGAAAAGCAATAGAAAGGTCTTAATATTCTAGTGTCCATATTGTTTTGACCCTTTCGGTGCTTCAGGAGATTAGAAAGACGTTAACTTTATGGGTTCTAAAATAAACATCATGGTTTGCAGTGTTCCCCCAGAAAGGGAGGGGAGGGGAATTTCCTGATTTTAGCAAACACAGTTATAGTAGAAATGTAAGATCACATAACCATGAAGCTACAGACCAGCAGTAGGTTGAGCTGTACAAAATACCTTAATTCATCAGGGCACCTGAACTCGTAGGTGGTAATTCTATTTAGTTCTTAACACCATCATTTTCACAGTGCTTTTCTTTCCCTGTGAAGAGGAGTACTTAACCTCTAACATTTCCTCGGTAGAACAGATGAACATTAAGATATATTGCATTTCAGTGATGCTATCAAATATATTCTCCTCTTCTGTGAGACCTTAAAAGCATCAGAAGACAAGAGCAATAGCTAAAAAATTGATGTTTGCTTTGCTGTCTAGCAGCCATTGAACAACTGTGAGCACAGTAAATAACAGATGAATTTATTCATTAGTTACACACCAGTTAATGTAATTCTTTACAACTGACATAAGAGTGGAGACCTAAAATTGCTCATACGGACCCAAGCTTCACCTCATGTATTGTTTACCTTTCATCTTGATTTCACTACATAGGCATGGGTATTAGTAAAACTTTGCATTACTGGCAAAAAAGTGTAATAAAACTTCATGATCACTGCCTGCAAATTGCGGTATTTGGGAAGCCTCTATTGTCAACTATAAACAAACCTCCAGCTATACTTTGAAAGTAAAGGGATGACTTTTCCTCATCAGAGATGCTCAGGCCTTCTTGAACTTCCAGTAAGTGCTGATCCACATCTGATCTTCGCAATACCATCCATCGCTCAAAACGCTTAAAAGCAAAATAAGCGTTCTTGCAATTCCCTGCATTTGCAATATCGTTACCCTCCAGCACTAGCTTGCAGAGCGTTGGCTGCCAAGGACAAACTGGAAAACATCCTCCTCTCACAGATGACAGTCACTCGCAACAACAACCCAGTCATTAAACAGTTTGCTGCCGTGGGCCAGCTGCCCAT